ATATTATATTATATTATATTATATTATATTATATTATATTATAACAAACCTGTATTCCTATAATCTGGGTTTGGAGTCCATAGTTACATACTTGTGGAAAAACACGTATACAATGAAAAGTAAATCCATTACAGGTGGTGTTTTAGTTCACATTCATACTTGAAAAAGAATTGGACTGAAATTGTCAACAAATTATGTTGTGGCTTCCAATAAATGGCGAAAGATTATGCGCTAGATTGTATATCTTTTATATTACACATGTATTATGTCACCTTCATTAAATATAAATTGTGTTCTTCAATCAACTAACGAACCGTAAAACCCATTGTATTTGTTATTTGGATCCTCGGTGAAAACAAACTCCGCATACGCATGCGCGTACTCATCAATGGATATGAAACCGTCCTTGTTAATGTCCATTACGTCAAACATCTTCTTCGATTCTTCAACAGGGACGTTCAAGCTGTAGAAATAAGCAGCGTGTTCATCCTTTGTTACAAGACCATCACCATCAATGTCCATGACCTTGAAACCCACGGACACATACATTGGGAAGAACTCTTTCCGGTAGGTACTTTGATTGACGACCGAAGGATCAACCCCCACAAATTCCTTTTCTGTTATTTGAGAAACATCCTTGGAACCTCTGGACAGAGACTCCCATACTTCGAGGCGTAGTTTAAGTATATTTGCTGCTTGTTCAGCTAAAAAAAAGGGGGGGGGGAGTTTTCTCAAAATAAAAATAATAAAAATGTTCGATATTGCTAAAATGTTTCAATATAGAGCTATAATGAAAAGGACATCTATGCGGTCTTTGAGAGAAAAACAGTGAGACAGAGGCAGAACGGAGTCATGGAAGATTATGATCATAATTACTGCACAAAATTCTTTTGAGAACCTAGATTAATCAAATTCAGATGTAATTCTAAATATACCATTGAGTTTCAGAAGCTCTATGGTGCGCCTGGCGCTGGCCTCGAAGTCCTCCTTTGTAATGATGCCGTCGTTGTTCGAATCGAAGCGATTAAATACTGTTCGTACCTTTCGTCTCCAGTGATCAGATGCAGTGACCGGGGGGTAATCGGTCGGCATCTAGATTGTTGGCAACAGAGAACATGTGCATTATTGTCCGTAAAATACACAAGAGAAAAAAGTTGTTTTTTATTCATTTTAATTGTTAAAAACGAGTACTATGTCCTTTCACTATCTGCGTCATAAAAATTAATTGTCTGGGTTATTTTACATTCGAGGGCTTAGGAGCCATTGCGTAGTTCACAAATATTGCGGGCCCAAAGGCATGTATGTAGTAAACGTACAGTAATTTACACCCCAAACGTACACCACTCGACGCTCCGCATAAAAATATACCTTAATATTCAATAATCTTCTCTCAAATAGGCAAATGTTTGGGCAACCAACCCTGACTTTACAATATACCCTAAGCGATCACCCTACTGGGTAGTTACAATACTGCGTGTGCAGGGTACGTGGAGAAGTTAAGAGATATGATTGATGGCAAATACATACGGGATCAAGAGATTAAATTGTTTTACCAGTGTTTTATATTGAAGATAAGCGCGCTGTGAATTTTGCTACCATTACTGACTACTTAATTTTTACTTACTTTCTTAAAGCTGATCGGTTTGTCAGTCATTTGGTCGGTCAGTTCTCGAACTGGTTGCTTACAAGGTGTATATTCCAGCACTAATCCACGCTGCAGACTTTTTTTCAATAATATCTGGTTAGATGACACGACCCGTGCCAATCCCCATCTTGATTGCACAATTCTTAATAATCCCAAATTATTTTTGAAAAACATTTTGGCAATAGTAAAACTGGATAAATAACGAATCCTTCGGCTAAACTCAACTCGATTCGAAAAAAAATCTCCGCACGTATATTAAAAGGCTGTTCGACTACAAAGAACGTCCTACCTGTATATTCACACAAATGAAGGTATTACGTTATAAAATGAACGTGACCTGACTCACAATATCAAACTTACATTGACTATGAAAGAGATTTTTCTTGGTCTTAAGACCGGATGATAAGATATAATTGTTTTTTACAAAGAGACTAAATAACACCAGTGAAAAACAACATTTCGGTCCACCATCTATCTGAACCTTGTCTGGGACGAGGTTTGTATATTCGAGCAGGAATCCGACGCCAAGGACACAGGACGCTATCGTATCTAGGTGGTGGCCATAGCTCCCTTCTTAATTCCTAAAACCCCTTCCTAAGTATAAGGACAAAAGATTTGATATAAACAACAATTTATACAGTTGTATATTTCATAAATTCAGAAAAACATTTAACGATTGTGTGTTGCTATGATTTTTTATGAAATGAAGATTAAATAGATTCTGTATCTATCAGGTCTACCCAACTACCAGACTCGGCACCGAATGATCCCCAATTCACCTGTAGATCGGGCCACACCCGTTTTCAAGGTGTGCGTCAGTACACATTTCACAGTAGCATACCCCGGAACAAATTTTGAGATGAGATGCACTACTTTCCAATCCCACTGAGAATCATCACCACCACATCGCGTACTAGGCAAGAGCAGTGTCGCGTCTGATACCTCGAAGCGCGTACTGACGCACACCTTGAAAACGGGTATTGTGGTCCGATCTACCGGTGAATTCAGGATCATTCGTTGCCGAGTCTGGTAGTTGTCTAGGCCTGCGTATAATTGTGAGAGCCATGGTTTCCTATGTAACCAAAGTGGAATCGTATCAGCAGTGTTGTGCTTGTTGGTCACTGATAAATATTTTGACCTCGCAGTCAAAACTGAATGCAGGCTCTCGTGGTTCCGGGCAAATTACATTTTGCATAAAACCCGGTATAGTTTAGAATTAGTGATCGATTTGACAACAGCTTATTGCTCGTCATTATTATAAAGTCTGCAATTATACTTCGTTTCTACTAACTATCAACTCTTTAAAATCATACTTAGGCGGGGATGGTCACTAATCTCTATCCTTTACCAACTACGCAACAGATCAAACTTGAGTCAACTGATAGCCTTACCTTGTTACCCCATGGCAGCCCGTATGTGTCTCCTATACCGGTGTGGCGTGTACCGCTTGGAGCGTGAACCATCCGTTCTGCTCACGCGCACAAAGCACAGGCAAATCTGAGAGACTTCCGGCGTGTACGGTCCGTCTCTATTGACTTTAATAAACGTACACTGTTAAGAACATACATGTACTGCATACTCAAACGTAATCTTTAGAAATATTCATATTTTACAGTTGATCGCCTCTACTGCGATTTCTCTCAGGTGCCCATATCAACACACTAGCCAAGTAAAATCAATACAATAATACATGTAGGCCTTGAAGGCCAACAGCTGAATAACGACGGCCCGTCCACGGTAGGTTCATCCGAGCGTTAAACTGTAATTTGACGCTGATTCTCTATCAAAATTATTAATAAAGAATTCTGTATCAACACATAAATGTTACCTAGAAATATCCCCACTATAGTAAATATGTAATATAATGAGGTGGGAAACAAACAAGCCACATCAATGCACAGGTGAATAACAACGAATCATTAACGGAACGGTTCATACACGCGTCTGCTGCGTGTACAATCGGTCAGAACGGATGGTTCACGCAGAACGGACCGTACACGTGACACCGGTGTCCCGTTGAAATGTGGACCGACATACTTAAGTAACTGGGAGGCACTATTTCAAGATTGAATATTAGTTTTAGATTTCGAAGACCAGGCTCTTACTAGCAAATAGCAAATATCGGAATTAGATAAAACGTTGGTTGACTGAAAAAAATATAAGCTAAGAATGTTCAAAACTCATAACAATGTCAACCCTTACCTTTTAAGTAATTAGCTAGAACTAATTACTCTCTTTTGTTTCTTTTCATTTTTTGGTACATAATCTGTAGAAATATCACAAGTGAAATAAAAAAAGGATAGTAAAGAAAAATGCATTGAATTCATATTAGTATCTAACACGAATTATCTTAGTAGAGAACACGAGGAAACATACATAAAATGTTATGTAAAAGGCGGGTCTAGATATTCCCACCATCTTTTCTAAATTTTGTGCATCTATCTGGGTGTATTCCCCAGCACACAACGCTCAGATATAATCACGCATTGTGAACGTAGAGTAACTGTCACGTACATGTATATCCACATTATTACCACAAAGCAGGGCATTTACGAAACTGTCAAAATATAACACTTGTATGATATCCAAAAAGTCTAGGTGTATCAATGCTGGAAATGCAAAGATCATGCATATTTAACTTGTTTCTTTGTTAAACTGTAACCTTGGGTCGCGAAATCACTGAGTAAGCTTGATGAATAATAGAGCGCTGTCAGCCGCCTCATGTTCACTTTGTATTATGCAGGTTGTCGACGTTCTTTGTCCTCCGGTAGACCGTTGAGCAAAAAACATTCCACTTATATTTTATCTAACTGAAGCTTGAATGTTTTTGGAAAGATCCCAAGTGAATGAATGAAAGACAATAAAAGAAAAAGGTTTTGAATTCTGATCAGTTTACAGACGTTATACCAATTATTTAACATATATCTCAAACGTTCAGGCCACTCAGTGAGCACATGATAACATTTACTGCATGCAATTTAAAAAGAATTAACAAAACACATTTAAACCGACCGAATGACTTCCTGGGCAGAGTATCGGCCACTGGAGGACATGGCAGCCCTTTATAAACGATACATTGTGTCTCCTTACTGGACGCTCATCATTAAGGGGTTGAAGCAGGGGCGTACCAATAGTACTTGCCTCATGTATTGGCATATCTTTGCCCTGTATAATCTTTTGTCGCTCCACACAGCTGAGCTGTATCCTCCCTAGCACGCTAGGTGATAACGACTGCACGTATGCATATTAAGTAATAATTACGTTCAAAACCGATTTTAAGCACCTTTTAAGGTTAAAACAGCTTCTACATATAAACGTGTGAAAACATCAAAACAATACAAAATGCTGATATTTGATCTAATTTTAGTTTCGTAATTGATTACAAGAAACCAAACCAACCGTACTTATAATAAAAGTTAAATCTCTTTATCGATACCTTCATATACGAATGTATACATAACTTTTCATATTTACATAGCCAAGTGTAAGTATAAAAGTATAATGCGATGGCCACATATATCAAGCTGCTATCTTGTATTAAACCTCATGTATTTAACCCCAACTTATCTACAAGCATTAGTTTATAGTGTTCTATGATGGCGACAGTTTCTTCAAAAGCTCACTCTTTGTACGCAAACATGAAAAAAATGCCATACAAACATTGGTTCGGGAAGAAACTAGTTACATTTGGACAAGGGGGCCAAAAAACATATTGTATTTATTGTTTGGGTCTTCCGTTAGCCAAAACTCCACAAACCCTTCTGCAAATTCATCCATGGATATAAACCCATCCTTATTGCTATCCATCACGTTGAAGACTCTCTTCGAATCATCATCTGGGGCGCGTATAGTGTAGAAAAAAGCAGCATGCTCTTCCTGAGATATACGACCATCGCCATCAATATCCATGGTATTGAATTCCACGGCTATGATGCTGGGAAGTAGCTCACGTCGATAGCTTATTTCGTTCACGTTCGACAAAGTTTCTTTCAAGTATTCGTCCCACGTCATCTTGACAGAAGTGTCATCCCTTACACTTTGCACATAACGTTCCCAGATGGCCAGGCGTTGCTTAAGTATGAGGTCAGCTTGCTTTTCTAAAACAGTTAAAGATACACGCTAAGCTAAATTTTTGTCTAATTTTTACAAATTCGAATCGAACTTTAAGAATTAATTACAATGTTTATACACTTCCTCATTTCTAGCCGTATTCTTACATCATTCTAATCGAGTAAGTTTAACTTATGATTAAGCTCATACATGAACACGTATACACACACACACACACACACACACACACACACACACGTTTGAAGATATAGGTCAAGTTAAATCGATGTTTTATCTTTACAAATATGAATCAAAGTTTAAGAGTTTCAATGAATATACCCTTCCTCATTTTTAACAGTATTCTTTTAGCATTTTAAATCAATAAAGTAAAATTTATGATGGTCATATATGTATATTCCATGTCATATTAGCCAATTACCATCAAGGCTCAAATACTGGACAGTCCGGTCAACGGTTGCCACCCAGTCTTCTCTTGTAATACAGCCGTCAGAATTTGAATCTAAGCCGTTGAAACATGTGCGCACTTTCCGTCTCCAGTGGCTGGAACCAGTGACCGGTGGGTAATCAATGGGCATCTGAAATGTTTACTAAAACCTGTAAATTGGCCTTTCGACCCCCCCCCCCCCCTCCTTCTTAGTTAGATTGGTTTAAACCTTCCAAAATAGTGTGGGATTTTGCAATAATAAAGCCAACGGTGTTCAGGGCTATCTTTGCATTTTGGTTTTTTTTATTATTTTGAATTTTGATAAACTAACTTCCATCTTGAATGAAGGAACACACATTCCTCGTGACCTCCATCTGTAATCGGTCGGCATCTAGATTGTTGGCAACAAAGAACATGTGCATTATTGTCCGTAAAATACACAAGAAGCAAAAAGTTTTTTTTATTCCATCTTGTTCAAAACGAGTAGGTCTACTATGTCTTTTCACCATCTGTGTCATAAAAATTAATTGTCTAGGTTATTTTACATTCGAGGGCTCAGGAGCCATTGCGTGGTTCACAAAGATTGCGGGCCCAAACGCACGTATGTGGTAAACGTACAGTATTTTACACCCCCAACCTACACCATTCGACGCTCTGCATAAAAATATACCTTAATATTCAGTAATCTTCTCTCAAATAGGCAAATGTTTGGACAACCAACCCTGACTCTACAATATGCCCTAAGCGATCACCCTACTGGGTAGCTACAATACTGCGTGTACAAGGTACGTGTAGAAGTTAGGTAGATAGGATAGATGGCAAATGCATACGGGATCAAGGGATTAAATTGTTTTACCAGTGTTTTATATTGGAGATGAACTCGCTGTGAATTTCGCCATCATTACTGACTACTTAATTTCTACTTACTTTCTTAAAGCGGATCGGTTGGTCGGTCGCTTGGCCGGTCAGTTCTCGAACTGGTTGCTTACAGGGTGTACATTCCAGCACTAACCCACGCTGCAAACCTTTCTTCAATAATATCTGGTTAGATGACACGATCCGTGCCAATCCCCATCTTGACTGCACAATTCTTAATAATCCCCAACTATTTTGGAAAAGCTTAGACATTTTGGCAAAAGTAAAACTGGATAAATAACGAATCCTTCGGCTAAACTCAACTCGATTCGAGCAAAATCTCCGCATGTATGTCAATAGACTACAAAGAACGTCCTACCTGTATATTCACACAAATGATGGCATTACATCATAAAATGAACGTGACCTGACTCACAATATCAAACTTACATTGGCTATGAAAGAGATTTTTCGTGGTCTCTTGATAGGATGATAAAATATAATTGTTCTTTACAAAGAAACTAAATACATGTAACACCAGTGAAACACAACATTTCGGTCCACCATCTATCTGGACCTTGTCTGGGACGAGGGTTGAATATTCGCGCAGGAATCCGACACCCAGGACACAGGACGCTATCGTAACTAGGTGGTGGCCATGGCTCCCTTCTAAATTCCCAAAACCCCTTTCTATGTATAAGGACTAAAGATTTTACATAAACAACCATTTATACAGTTGTATATTTCATTAACGATTGTGTGTTTCTATAATTTTTATGAAATGAATGATTAAATAGATTCTGTATCCATAAGGCCTACCCACATACTTTGAAAGCGGGTAGTGTGGGCCCATCAAGCGGTGAATTCAGGATCATTGGGTGCCGAGTCTGGTAGCTGGGTAGGCCTGCCTATAATTGTGAGAGAGATGGTTTCCTATGTAACCAAAATGGAATCGTATCAGCTATGTAATTCTTGTTGGTCATTAATAAAATTTTTGGCCTTAATCACCTCAGTAATGTTCGTCAAATAATGCATTATCTTTTTTGATCACGAATTGGTAGGTTGATGTTGCCATAACCACGCAAAACTAGCTTCTCTAGTTACAGGAATCTTTTGGACGTTAATTGTCGAGACACGAGCGTGCGTCGTGAGCACGCTTTTTATACTCCTGGCGTGGGGTGACGCACGTGCAACACACTCCTGTGCCGTATTTTCGATTTTGTTCGTTAGCTGTGAAGACGTGCGCCGTACTCAACATGCAAAGGACACTTGCTCCTTCAGTGCTTACGGCGGGTGTCTTGGACCACGCACGTCTCACTTTGGAACTTTAGCGAACTATTGCGAGGGGCGCTAGTTAAGCCTCGGTCACAACCGGACGTCGTCCCCTGCGATTTTTGGGTGTTGAGAGGCCGTGGAGGTCGTAGAGGTAGAGGAAAGTCTGCCTTGCGAGTCGCAAGGGCTACATGAGTTGTTATTTGAAGCAGGGACATTAATTGCAAAGAGCGATGGCCGTGAAAAATTGTACTCATTTCTTGAGTTTGTCTTGCTTCCTGTGTACGTGGCACACACTCACCACTTACGAAGGGAATGCAACGCATGGCGAAAGTAGTGCCCTTTTACGTCAGTTTTGCTTCACACTTGCCTCACACGTTTGTGGTGACGTACTGACGGCGTACGTCAGTTTTGCTTCCTGTTCTCCTCTTCCTTCTTCTTCCTCCTCCCTTTTTTCTACTATGTAAGCTTCTGTCTCTTGCCTTTTTGAGGCATATTAGAAACTAAATTGAGCAAAAATTTGAAAATTGTTGTACACGTTACACAGTCGATGTTCATTGTAAAGACACGAGCGTGCGTCGTGAGCACGCCTTTTATACACCAGGCGTGGGGGTGACGCACGTGCGACGCATTCCCGGTGTGCTTTCGACTTTTTTCGTTAGTTGTGAGGGCGTGCGCCTTACTCAACACGCAAAGTGCACTAACCTTACGTGGTCCCTGCCACTCGCAAGGAAGACTTGCACTTTTCTTTTGAAACCTTTCGTTTACCTCTAAATACTCTACGACCTCCGCTGCACCCACAATTCTTAGGGGACGTACGATCCTAAAATTCGTGCGTCCGGTTGTGACTGAGGCTTTATACACATTTGGAGTGTTTTTATATGGGACCCCAGACTTCAATTCCTAGGACTGTTATTCCTGACACAACAGCAAATGAAGAAAGGGATGTGCCCTCCAATTAAGAGGTAAAAGAAGTTCCAGTTCGATGGACGATTAAGGGTGCTTTCAAAGATATTTAGATCGATCTAAAGATTAAGTTTTAGATCGACCTAACTCCCTGGGGGTTCACGCTAAATTGCAGTCAGCCGAGCGGGCACTATAGTTAATTACCCCCTTACAGCTTTTAGTAGGCGGGACAGACTCTTAAGCCGACCAAGCTGACAGTAATCTAGCGAGACTCCCCACAGGGATAGATCGATCTAAAAATCTATGAAAANATCCAGATGTAATTCTAAATATACCATTGAGTTTAAGAAGCTCTATGGTGCGCCTGGCGCTGGCCTCGAAGTCCTCCTTTGTAATGATGCCGTCGTTGTTCGAATCGAAGCGATTAAATACTGTTCGTACCTTTCGTCTCCAGTGATCAGATGCAGTGACCGGGGGGTAATCGGTCGGCATCTAGATTGTTGGCAACAGAGAACATGTGCATTATTGTCCGTAAAATACACAAGAGAAAAAAGTTGTTTTTTATTCATTTTAAATGTTAAAAACGAGTACTATGTCCTTTCACTATCTGCGTCATAAAAATTAATTGTCTGGGTTATTTTACATTCGAGGGCTTAGGAGCCATTGCGTAGTTCACAAATATTGCGGGCCCAAAGGCATGTATGTAGTAAACGTACAGTAATTTACACCCCAAACGTACACCACTCGACGCTCCGCATAAAAATATACCTTAATATTCAATAATCTTCTCTCAAATAGGCAAATGTTTGGACAACCAACCCTGACTTTACAATATACCCTAAGCGATCACCCTACTGGGTAGTTACAATACTGCGTGTGCAGGGTACGTGGAGAAGTTAAGAGATATGATTGATGGCAAATACATACGGGATCAAGAGATTAAATTGTTTTACCAGTGTTTTATATTGAAGATGAGCGCGCTGTGAATTTTGCTACCATTACTGACTACTTAATTTTTACTTACTTTCTTAAAGCTGATCGGTTTGTCAGTCATTTGGTCGGTCAGTTCTCGAACTGGTTGCTTACAAGGTGTATATTCCAGCACTAATCCACGCTGCAGACTTTTTTTCAATAATATCTGGTTAGATGACACGACCCGTGCCAATCCCCATCTTGATTGCACAATTCTTAATAATCCCAAATTATATTTGAAAAACATTTTGGCAATAGTAAAACTGGATAAATAACGAATCCTTCGGCTAAACTCAACTCGATTCGAAAAAAAATCTCCGCACGTATATTAAAAGGCTGTTCGACTACAAAGGACGTCTTACCTGTATATTCACACAGATGAAGGTATTACTTTATAAAATGAACGTGACCTGACTCACAATATCAAACTTACATTGGCTATGAAAGATATTTTTCCAGATAGGATGATGAAATCTAATTGTTCTTTACAAAGAGACTAAATACATGTAACACCAGTGAAACACAACATTTCGGTCCACCATCTATCTGGACCTTGTCTGCGACGGGGATTGTATATTAGCGCAGGAATCCGACGCCCAGGACACAGCATGCTATCGTACCTAGGTGGTGGCCATAGCTCCCTTCTAAATTCCTAAAACCCCTCCCTATGTATGAGGACAAAAGATTTGATATAAACAACCATTTATACAGTTGTATATTTCATAAATTCAGAAACACATTTAACGATTGTGTTTCTATAATTTTTATGAAATGAATGATTAAATAGATTCTGTATCTATTAGGCCTACCCACATACTTTAAAAACGGGTAGTGTGGTCCCATCTAGCGGTGAATTCAGGATCATTCGATGGCGAGTCTGGTAGCTGGGTAGGCCTGCCTATAATTGTGAGAGAGATGGTTTCCTATGTAACCAAAATGGAATCGTATCAGCTATGTAATTCTTGTTGGTCATTAATATAATTTTTGGCCTTAATCACCTCAGTAATGTTCGTCAAATAATGCATTATCTATTTTGATCACGAATCGGTAGGTTGATGTTGCCATAACCACGCAAAACTAGCTTCTCTAGTTACAGGAACCTTTTGGACGTTAATTGTCGAGACACGAGCGTGCGTCGTGAGCACGCTTTTTATACTCCTGGCGTGGGGTGACGCACGTGCAACACACTCCTGTGCCGTATTTTCGACTTTGCTCGTTAGCTGTGAAGTATTCGTAGAATCTTTTGGACATGTCCAGTATCCTCCGTACGTGCTCACGGTCTGTCTGTTAACTCCTAATTTCGCAAGAAACAGTTGCTTGAATGGAAAGCGCACCAGCTAAAGCCTCGGTCACAGCCTGCTGTACGGGCTCTTACGGGCTATTTGCGTCCAAATTTGCCGCAGCATCCCAGGTCCCACGCAAGTCCTTACGAAATTTCGAGTTCGCAGACACGCACGTACGGAGATTGGACATGTCCAAACGATTCTACGAATAATCTGCGAGTAGCGAGGCCGCAAGCGTGACCTGCCCATCTCGCAAAGAGTTCACAAGGAGTTCGCAAGTGAGACGTGCTTTGTCCAAGACGCAAGTCACAAACAATGAAAGAACAAGTGCCTTTTGCGTGTTGAGTACAGCGCACGCCCTCACAGCTAACGAACAAAGTCGATAGCACACCGGGAATGCGTCGCACGTGCATAACCTCCACGAGTGGAATATAAAGGACGTGCTCATGACGCACGCTCGTGTTTCGACAATGAACGTCGGTTGTGTACAATGATTTTCAGGAATCTCAAAGTTTGCTCAATTTAGCTTTAAAAATGCTTACAAAAGGCAAGGGAAAGAAAATCACAGAGCAGAAAAGTAAGGATATGGAAGAAGAAAGAAGGGGAGAACAGGAGGCAAAATTGACGTACGCCGCCACTACGTCATCACAAACGTGTGAGGCGAATGTGAAGCAAAAGTAACCCAAATTAAACTATTTTCGTAGTGTGTTGCATTCTCTTCGTAGGTGGTGAGTGCGTGCCACGTATGCAGGCCGCAAAACAAACTTACTGAATGAGTACAATTTCCAAGGCCATCGTGCCCTGCAAATAGAGTCCCTTTTAAACGGAACCTTACGTTGTCCCTGCCACTCGCAAGGAAGACTTGCACTTTTCTTTTGAAACCTTTCGTTTACATCTACATACTCTACGACCTCCGCTGCACCCACAATTCTTAGGGGACGTACCACCCTAAAATTCGTGCGTCCGGTTGTGACTGAGGCTTTATACACATTTGGAGTGTTTTTTATATGGGACCCCAGACTTCAATTCCTAGGACTGTTATTCCTGACACAACAGCAAATGAATAAAGGGATGTGCAGTGCACAAAGGTGCAAGAAAGAGGGTACAGAAGAGTTGAGGGCCACTGAGCCCTCCAATTAAGAGGTAAAAGAAGTTCCAGTTAGATGGACGATTAAGGGTGCTTTCCCAGAGATTTAGATCGATCTAAAGATTAAGTTTTAGATCGACCTAACTCCCTGTGGGTTCACGCTAAATTGCAATCAGCCGAGCCGGCACTACAGTTAATTACCCCCTTACAGCTTTTAGTAGGCGGGACAGACTCTTAAGCCGGCCAAGCTGACAGTAATCTAGCAAGACTCCCCACAGGGATAGATCGATCTAAAAATCTATGAAAATGGGGTGTGAGATAGGACTTGTTAAGGTTACAGGCATTGTTTACCTCAGTTTGCAAGACGAGGAGGGGGGGGGGCGGGTAAGAACAAGTGCCTATACAATTGATACAGAGGATTTGTACATTGTGACTTTAATAAGCAGAGGATTTTCTTTTATATTCATTGAAAAATACACTAAATCTATATAAAATATCATGGTTGGCCAAAAAATTGTACGCACAGTACATCCGTGCGTATGCCTAGTTACGCCCATGTGCACTGTTTTAAAGAACAGGGCTGACTATGTCAAGAAGTGTAAGCTATCCCGTGGGAAGAGAAAAAAAAAGCGTTCAAACCAACGGAAATCGTCCAGGTTAGCATAAAAGGATCCAGGCACTGTGTTGCGTCGTTTAAAATAGGTAACACACGTGCATCGGCGCAAGGCGAGGTAAACGTTTCAATAACAAGGGCAGGCTTTCATCTCCGTCATTATCGTTTTAGAAAGCAATATAATGGTAGCACATAAAGCGTGCTGTACTGGTACTGTTGCGCAACATTAGATTGTAATGGATCTACTTTAGTGTAGAACACAACCGAATATACAAGAAGGAGTATAAAAAGCACATGGATGACATTTTTTGCCGCACCACGCTGATTTACTAGTATTTCTGTCCAACTCTCCCCTCAAATCCTGGGAACTCCCGGTTGATATAGTTGTTATCAAGCTGCGAGACTTTGGGTTATCTCTGAAGATTCACAGTCCTTGAAAATGGGTGCCAAAAACGGGTGGCAGAATTTAAACGGATGTTAAATGTCATAAAACTAAAGCTGAATGGGAATCTGGACCCAAGCAAACAGGATCTCACGGTACCACCTACGCGTTACTGTCTCCAAAATTTATAAATCACATTCGAACCCATTTTAATCATGCTTTATTATGTCCTTATGCTACAAGTGCATATATTATATTATATTATATTATATTATATTATATTATATTATATTATATTATATTATATTATCAATGCATACACTAGTATTTCCATAATCTGGGTTTGGAGTCTGCAAGCATCATATTTCAGAAAAAAAATCACGTATGGTATAGAATTAAATCAATTACAGATTTTACAGTATTTTAGTGTCACTATATGTTTCAAAGAATAGGACTAAATTACCATCAAAAAGTTACGGTGCGTCTTCCAACAAACGGCGGAGGTTTTTGCGCTGCATTGTATATCTTATATGTTACACATGTACCGATATAAAGTCACTTTCAGCGGATTTAAAATGAGTCCTTCAATCAACTAAAGGACCGAAAAACCCATTGTATTCGTTATTTGGATCCTCGGTGAAAAGAAACTCCGCATACGCATGCGCGTACTCATCAATGGATATGAAACCGTCCTTGTTGGTGTCCATCACGTCAAATATCTTCTTCGATTCTTCAACAGGGACGTTCATGCTGTAGAAATAAGCGGCGTGTTCTTCCTTTGTTACAAGACCATCACCATCAATGTCCATGACCTTGAAACCCATGGATACCACCATTGGGAAGAACTCTTTCCGGTAGGTACTTTGATTGACGACCGAAGGATCAAAGCCCACAAATTCCTCCTCTGTTACTTGAGAAGCATCTTTGAAAACTCTGGACAGAAACTCCCATATTTCAAGGCGTAGTTTAAGTATATTTGCTGCTTGTTCAGCTAAAAAAGGGGGAAAAGTTTTCTCAAAATAATTTTAATAAAAACGTGTGTTATTGCAAAAATGTTTCAAAATAAAGCTTTAATGAAAAGGATATCTATGCGGTACTTGAGAGAAAAACAGTGAGACGGAGGCAAATCGGAGTCATGGGAGATTATGATCATAATTACTGCACGAAATTATTTTGAGAACCCAGATTAATCAAATTCAGATGCAATTCTAAATATACCATTGGATTTCAGATGCTCTATGGTGCTTCTGGCGCTGGCCTCGAAGTCTTCCTTTGTAATGATGCCGTCGTTGTTTGAATCGAAGCGATTAAACATTGTTCGTCTCTTTCGTCTCAAGTGATCAGATGCAGTAAGCGGGGGATAATCGGTCGGCATCTAGATTGTTGGCAACAAAGAACATGTGCATCTTTGTCCGTAAAATACACTAGAGACAAAAAGTTGTTTTTTATCCATTTTGTTAAAAACGAGTACTGTGTCCTTTCACTATCTGCGTCATAAAAATTAATTGTCTGGGTATTTTACATTCGAGGGCCATTGCGTAGTTCACAAAGATTGCGGGCCCAAACGCACGTATGTGGTAAACGTACAGTAATTTACACCCCCAACCTACAACATTTGACGCTCTGCATAAAAATATACCTTAATATTCAGTAATCTTCTCTCAAATAGGCAAATGTTTGGACAACCAACCCTGACTCTACAATATGCCCTGAGCGATCACCCTACTGGGTAGCTACAATACTGCGTGTACAAGGTACGTGTAGAAGTTAGGTAGATAGGATAGATGGCAAATGCATACGGGATCAAGGGATTAAATTGTTTTACCAGTGTTTTATATTGGAGATGAACTCGCTGTGAATTTCGCCATCATTACTGACTACTTAATTTCTACTTACTTTCTTAAAGCGGATCGGTTGGTCGGTGGCTTGGCCGGTCAGTTCTCGAACTGGTTGCTTACAGGGTGTATATTCCAGCACTAACCCACGCTGCAAACCTTTCTTCAATAATATCTGGTTAGATGACACGATCCGTGCCAATCCCCATCTTGACTGCACAATTCTTAATAATCCCCAACTATTTTGGAAAAGCTTAGACATTTTGGCAAAAGTAAAACTGGGTAAATAACGGATCCTTCGGCTAAACTCAACTCGATTCGAGCAAAATCTCCGCACGTATGTCAATAGACTACAAAGAACGTCCTACCTGTATATTCACACAAATGAATGCATTACATCATAAAATGAACGTGACCTGACTCACAATATTAAACTTACATTGGCAATGAAAGAGACTTTTCGTGGTCTCCAGATAGGATGATAAAATATATATATATTTTTTTACAAAGAAACTAAATATAAACACCAGTGAAACACAACATTTCGGTCCACCATCTATCTGGACCTTGTCTGGGACGAGGAATGTACATTTGCGCAGAATCCCCACGCCCAGGACACAGGATGCTATCGTACCTAGGTGGTGGCCATAGCTCCCTTCTAAATTCCTAAAACCCCTGCTTATGTATAAGGACTAAAGATTTAATATAAAAAACATTTATACAGTTGTATATTTCATAAATTCTGAAATATATTTAACGATTGTGTGTTGCTATGATTTTTTATGAAATGAATGAATAAATACTATAGATTCTGTCTATAATTGTTAGAGACATGGGTTCCTATGCAACCAAAATTGAATCGTATCATCTATGTTGTGCTTGTTGGTCATTGATAATTTTTTTGCCTTGATCACCTCAATAATATTCGTCAAACAATGTATATCGCGTACTAGGCAAGAGGGGTGTCGCGTCTGATACTGTAATGGCTACTGACTCACACCTTGAAAACGGGTAGTGTGGTCTGATCTACCGGTGAATTCAGGATCATTCGGTGCCGAGTCTGGTAGGTGGGTAGGCCTGTCCTTGGCCTTGCTTATCAAGACTGTTCATACATTCATACAGTACCCGGGGCAACTCCACAGTCGACATGTGAAATGACAAATCATACTCACAACTAAAACCGCCAATTTGTGAACAGCTTAGGTTCTCGTCGTGCTCTATAACGTCACAGGTGAAGTCAAATGTAAACTCGGTGTGAAACAATATTAAAATAACAGCATCTGAAATAATCTAACTAGGATTGTTCCGGGCAGGCTTATCAAAAAAAGTGACGTGATTTGAATTAATTCAGTAGCTTTCCCATTATAGCATCACGACATACCACCTGTAGACTGCGGTCAGCAGAAAATAAAGGTATCTTCGCGGCGGAATTAATTGCCAAATAAATTTCTCTCAAAATTAGCACCATTGTAATTGGAGTGTTTGTTATGGTTCACTCTTCTAATGGGGTTGCTAAAACGAAAACCTTCCTATTGTGCCCTTTACCGTCATAGGTGAAGCCAAAGTAAACTTCAGCATAAAACAAAGTCATAGGTAAACAAGGCAGCAAAGCCGTCAAATGTACAGACAAAAATCATAAAATTAAGATACAGAACATAGGTCATTTTGTCAGTTTTGATACAATAATAAATAATGCTTATAAGAGCACAGTCAATCAACACTAAAATTTAATCATGCACAATTGTACTGATTTATGACGAGGTGGCTCAAGTACTAATACATCACTGAGTCGTTTTTCCAGGCCCCGGTTTCACAAAAAAAAAAAGAAACATGGCTAAGAATATAATTACCAACGTTGTATGGGTACATTCCCCTATCAGGAACAGTGTTGCAGCACTCTCGTAGAAATCCAATTCAACTAATTGGCTATTTTTTTTCCTTGTGAGACTGGGGCCAAGTCCACTGATGAGCGCTTGTAAAGGTGGACGGCATTCAATAGATGGGCACTATATTTTTAAATTGTCTGTGCACTTAACTGTGCACTGTAAAGCTGCCCACAACATGTCACTTTACCACTATGACAGGTTGGTTATTTTCTGACCCGGGTACTAGTCATACATAAAGATAACACATAATCAATCCAATTTTAATGTACCAAATGAAAGACCGAACATTTCCGATCGCGAAAACTGTTATTATTTTTTTTCTTTAACCAACTTTTAAATTGTCTGTGCACTTAACTCTGCACTGTAAAGATAAAGATAACACATAATCAATCCAATTTTAATGTACTAAATTAAAGAACGAACGTTTCCGATTTTTTCTTTAACCAACTTTTAGAGGTCTGTGTTTTATTACGAACTCAATTTCATCTGAATATAAACCCTTTATGTGTATATCTTATTGTATAATTTTATTCAGACACATTTATCTCAAGGTTACAATGTTACTAATACCCTAATTATCTAAAAACCTATTTATTTAAAAGATTTTGGCCCACTTAGGTCAGGCTAACCCTTACCATTATAACTAAATAGAGCTCGGGACTTTCTGTTACACAGACCCTTAATTTCGTTACACCGGTGAAGTAGTTTTGGTAATGGAATTGTAATACACAAGTTCGTTCCCCATTACCTTGTACAGGCAGCATTGTCCCATAAAATATATCAACCCCAATACTCCGTCTAACCCTAACCTTGCTGACTATGTCAAGAAGTGTAAGCTCTCCTGTGGGAGAAGGGGAAGCATTCAAACCAAAGAAAATCGTCCAGGTAAGCATAAAAGGATCCAGGCACTGTGTTGCGTCGTTTAAAATAAGTAACACACGTGCATCGGCGCAAGGCGAGGTAAACGTTTCAATAACAATAGAAGCCTTTTATTCCCCGTCATTATCGTTTCAGAAAGCAATACAATAGTAGCACACAAAGCGTGGTATACTGGTACTGTTGTGCAACATAAAATTGCAATGGATCTACTAGCGTGGAAAACAACCGAAAACACTAGCACATGGATGACATTTTTGCCAAACCATGCTGTTTTACCAGTATTTCTGTCTGACTCTCCCCCCAAGTCCTGGGAACTTCCGGTTGATTTGAGCTGCAAGACTTTGGGTTATCTCTGAAGATTCCCAATCTTTGAAAATGGGTAGCAAAAATAGGTTGCAGAATTAAAATGGATGTCAAATATCATAACACTAAAATTGAATGGGAATCCGGACCCAAGCAATCACGGATCTCTGGGTACCACCTGCGCATTTCTGACTCCTTAAATTATAAATCACATCAGAACCCATTTTAATCCTGCTTTATCATGTCTTTATACTAAGTGCATATATTATATTATATTATATTATATTATATTATATTATATTATATTATAACAAACTTGTATTTCTATAATCTGGGTTTGGAGTTCATTAGTTTCATATGTGGAAAAATCACGTATACAATGAAAATAAATCCATTACAGGTGGTGCTTTAGTTCAAATTTATGTTTGTAAAAGAATTGAACTAAAATTATCACCAAAAAGTTATGTTGCGTCTTTCAACAAACGGCGGGAAATAATGCGCTAGATTGTATATCTTTTATATTACACATGTATTACAACTGTATGTCACCTTCATCAACTTTAAAGTGCGCTCTTCAATCAACTAACGGACCGTAAAACCCATTGTATTTGTTATTTGGATCCTCGGTGAAAACAAACTCCGCATACGCATGCGCGTACTCATCAATGGATATGAAACCATATTTGTTGGCGTCCATCACGTCAAATATCTTCTTCGATTCTTCAACAGAGACGTTCATGCTGTAAAAGTAAGCAGCGTGTTCTTCCTTTGTTACAAGACCATCACCATCAAGGTCCATGACCTTGAAACCCACGGATACCACCATTGGGAAGAACTCTTTCCGGTAGGTACTATGATTGACGACTGAAAGAACAAATCCCACACATTCCTCCTCTGTTATTTGAGAAGCATCTTTGGAACCTCTGGACATAAACTCCCATCCGTCAAGGCGCTGTTTAAGTATATTTGCTGCTTGTTCGTCTAAAAAAGGGGTAATGTTTTCTCAAAATAATTAAAAAAATGTTTGATATTGCAAAAAATGTTTCAAAATAAAGCTTTAACGAAAAGGACATCTATGCTGTCTTTGAGAGAAAAACAGTGAGACGGAGGCAGAATGGAAGGTTGTGATCATAATTACTGAAAAAAATTTGAGAGCCTAGATTAATCAAATTCAGATGCAATTCAAAATATACCATTGAGTTTCAGAAGCTCTATGGTGCGCCTGGCGCTTGTCTCGAAGTCTTCCTTTGTAATGATGCCGTCGTCGTTCGAATCGAAGCAATTAAATATTGTTCGTATCTTTCGTCTCCAGTGATCAGATGCAGTAACCGGGGGGTAATCGGTCGGCATCTAGATTGTTGGTGACAAAGAACATGTGCATTATTGTCTGTGAAATACACAAGAGGCAAAAAGTTGTTTTTTATTCCATCTTGTTCAAAACGAGTACTATGTCCTTTCACTATCTGCGTCATAAAAATTACTTGTCTGGGTTATTTTGCATTTGAGGACTCAGAAGCCATTGCGCAGTTCACAAAGATTGCGGGCCCAAACGCACGTATGTAGTTAATGTTCAGTAATTTACACCCCCAACCTACACCACTCGACGCTCTGCATAAAAAATATACCTTAATATCCAATAATCTTCTCTCAAATAGGCAAATGTTGGGACAACCAAATCTGACTTTACAATATGCCCTAAGCAGTCACCCTACCGGGTAGCTACAATACTGCGTGTACAGGGAACGTGTAGAAGTTACAGACCCGAAGCCAGAAATTCCAAAAGGACGGTTCTTTTTCTGAAAAAGTGGACCTTTTTTTCAATAAAAACTTCATGAACCTAGATCAAATTTTACCCAGAGGGGACCTTTTCCCACCAAAACGGGCGGTTCTTTTAAACCCCCCCAATCCCCCCCTCCCCCGGCTACGGGCCTCAGTTAGGTAGATAGGATAGATGGCAAATACATACCCCTGTACGGGATAAAGGGATTAAATTGTTTTACCAGTATTTTATACTGGAGATGACCGTGCTGTAAATCTCGCCATCATTACTGACTGCTTAATTTTTACTTACTTTCTTAAACCGTACTGGTTGGACGGTCACTTGGCCGGTCAGTTCTCGAACTGATTGCTTACATGGTGTATATTCCAGCACTAACCCACTCTGTAAACCTTTCGTCAATAATATCTGGTTAGATGACACGGTTCGTGCCAATCCCCATCTTGATTGCACAATTCTTAATAATCCCCAACTATTTTGGAAAAACTTAGACATTTTGGCAATAGTAAAACTGGATAAATAACGAATCCTTCGGCTAAACTCAACTCGATTCAAGCAAAATCTCAGCACGTATGTTAAAAGGCTGTTCGACTACAAAGGACGTCCTGCCTGTATATTCACACAAATGAAGGTATTGCATTATAAAATGAACGTGACTTGACTCACAATATCAAACTTACATTGGCTATGAATGAGATTTTTGACGTCTCCAGATAGGATGATAAAATATATTTGTTTTTTTACAAAGAGACTAAATAACACCAGTGAAACACAACATTTCGGTCCACCATCTATCTGGACCTTGTCTGGGGCGAGGGTTGTATATTCGCGCAGGAATCCGACGCCCAGGAAACATAGCACTATCGTAGCTAGGTGGTGGTCATAGCTCCATTCGAAATTTCTAAAACCCCTCCCTACGTATAAGGACAAGGATTTGATATAAACAACAATTTATACAGTTGTATATTTCATAAATTCAAAAACACATTTAACGATTGTGTGTTGCTATATTTTTTTATGAAATGGATGGTTAAATAGATTCTGTATCTATCATGTCTACCCAACTACCAGACTCGGCACCGATTGATCCCGAATTCACCGGTAGATCGGATCACAATTAATGCCCGTTTTCAAGGTGTGCGTCAGTACGCACTTCAAGGTATCATACCGCGGAACAAGTTTTGAGATGAGATGCACTAATTTCCAACCCCGCTGATAATCACCACCATCACATCGCGTACTAAACAAGAGCGGTGTCACGTCTGATACTTCGAAGCGCGTACTGATACTCGTCGCCAACTGTATGCAACACACATCTTGTAACGGTATTATGCATGCAGTGGATGAATCATGTTTTAATCGTTGCTTTTCCCACGGCGGTGTGACGTGACAGAAATCCCCCCATAACAATGAGCCCGCTTCCTATTCATTTGTACAGGTGGTCCTCGCCCTAGATTTTGACCCACTAAGGTCAGACCAGCGAATTATATCGTATTCCAAGATGTTCCTTAAAATAGGCATCAGGTCAACTTTTATAAAGGCTTCCTTTGATGAGGTGTTTCTTGGTAAAGGAAGTCCTAACGAAATGGTATTCAAAGACCACACTTTAGCCTCTCCTTTGATGAAGAATTACTTTGACAAAAGTCATTCTTTATGTAAGGGACACTGACATAAAGGAGCTCCTCATTGGCTAGAGTAGGCCTTTGTGACACCTTCCTCTTATAAACGCCTCAGTAAGGTTGTATAATTGGGGTCAACTGCTTAACTTCAGTCATGCAACAGCGCATGTGGACATTATCACTGCATGTGGATGTTTTGATCTAAGCCAAATTTAGTGAATAAAGCAAGTATGCCAAGAGGAGAAAAGAATGGTTTGGAGGATGAGAAAACCAAAGTCGTAGACCCTTTTCTGATATCGAAAAGCAGCTACTGATGCAACTAGTTAACAGAGAAAAGCCTATCCTCGATCAAATGTATTACTTCCGCCAAGGCGGTTGTTTTCACCCCTGTTTGCTTGTCTGTCTGTCTGTCTGTCCGTCTGTCTTGTCTGTCTGTCTGTTTGTTTGTTTGTCATCAACATAACTCAAAAAGTTACGGGCCGATTTTTATAAAATTATCAGGGTAGGTCAGAAATGGGTTGTATTAGACGTGATTAGTTTTTGGTGGTGATCAAGATCAATAATCAATCAATCATCAATAATCAAAATAACTCAAAAAGTTATGGGACGATTGTGATGAAATTTTCCGGAACTGTCACAAGTGGACCAAGGAACAGATGATTGGTTTTTGGTGGTGATCCGGATCAATAATCAATCAATAATCAAAAATCAAAAAACCAAATCATTATAGAAAGAAAATTGGGTGGAGACTTTGCTGTCTTGGCGGAGGTCTCCGCTCTCGGAGTGCTTTTCTAGCTGAATTTAATGATTTTGAATTTAGGTAGGCATGTTGGTTTACATAGTCCTCCATAGAGCTGATTTTCACAATATAACTGTACACGATGGCTGCTTAAGGAAGACTAAAAGTTACTCCAGACCAACCTTACATTTTAAGACCAACCTTACATTTTACATTTTAAGGAATCCTCAGCCTTTGCTAAGGATGATTGTTAAGTGATCCCTTTCAAGTGAGATAAAGAAAGGTCTTGGAATACAAATTTCGTATAAGGTCGACTTTAAGTCTCCCTTAACGCTAAAGGGATATTCTGAAATACGGGCCCTGGTCAGACTAACCATGGAGGGCGGACCCTCAGTTTCGTTTCACCGGTGAATTAGTAATGGTACTGGAATGGCAGTACATTAGTCCGTTCCCCAATACATTGTACAGGGTACAGGCAACATTTGTCCCATAAATTATATCAACCCCAATACTCCGTCTAACCCTTACTTGTGCTATTTTTGTAGAACACAGACTTCAGTTCCTAGGACTGCCATTCCTGACACAACAGCAAATGAATTAAGGGATGTGCGCTGTTTCATGGAAGAAGGCTGACCATGGGACCATTTCCACGGATATTTGGATCGATCTATCTCCCTGGGGACTCTCACTTAACTGTTATTAACAAATGGGCTTAAACGTCTGTCACGCCTAGTAAATCTGTTAGGGGGTAATTATCTTTACCCCTAGCTGATTCGGTGGGCGAGACAGACATTTAATCCTCTTGAGCTGATAGCAATTTAGCGTGAACCCTCAGGGAGTTACGTCGATCTAGTTGGACCGATCTGAGTATGGGAACCCAGTCTATGTCAAGAAGTGTAAGCTCTCCCGTGGGAGGAGGAAAAGGCGTTCAAACCAAAGGAAATCGTCCAGGTTAGCATAAAAGGATCGAGGCACTGTGTTGTGTCATTGAGATAGGTAACACACGTGCATCGGCGCAAGGCGAGGTTAACGTTTCAATAACAAGCTGAGGCTTTTATCTCCGTCATTATCGTTTCTGAAAGCAATACAATACAAGCACACAAAGCGAGGTATACTGGTACTGTTAGATTGTAATGGATCTACTAGTGCAGAACACAACCTAAATTACAAGCACATGGATGACATTTTTTGCCGCACCACGCTGTTTTACCAGTATTTCTGTCCGAATCTCCCCTCTTTAGGTTATCTCTGAAGATTCACAGTCTTTGAAAATAGTTGGCGAAAATGGGTGGCAGAATTTAAATGGATGTCAAATGTCATAAAACTAAAACTGAATGGGGATCTGGACCCAAGCAAACACGAAAGTCTGGGCACCACCTGCTCGTTTCTGACTCCTAAAAATTATAAATCACATTCGAACCCTTTTTAATCATGCTTTATCATGTCTTTTTACTACAAGTGCATATATTATATTATATTATATTATATTATATTATATTATATTATATTATATTATATTATATTATATTATATTATGAATGCATACACTAGTATTTCCATAATCTGGGTTTGGAGTCTGTAAGCATCATACTTGTGAAAAATCACGTATGGTATACAAATAAATCCATTACAGATGGTATTTTAGGTCACGTTAATTCATATGTGTCAAAGAATAAGACTATACTACCATCAAAAAGTAACGGTGCGTCTTCCAACAAACGGCGGACGTTTTTGCGCTAGATTGTATATCTTTCATATTACACATGTACCGATATTAAGTCACCTTCATCGAATTTAAAATGAGTCCTTCAATCAACTAAAGGACCGAAAAACCCATTATATTTGTTATTTGGATCATCAGTGAAAAGAAACTCCGCATACGCATGCGCGTACTCATCAATGGATATGAAACCGTCCTTGTTGGCGTCCATCACGTCAAAAATCTTCTTCGATTCTTCAACAGGGACGTTCATGCTGTAGAAATAAGCAGCGTGTTCATCCTTTGTTACAAGACCATCACCATCAATGTCCATGACCTTGAAACCCACGGACACATACATTGGGAAGAACTCTTTCCGGTAGGTACTATGATTGAGGACCGAAGGATCAAAGCCCACAAATTCCTCCTCTGTTACTTGAGAAGCATCTTTGGAATCTCTGGACACAAACTCCCACATTTCAAGGCGCTGTTTAAGTATATTTGCTGCTTGTTCAGCTAAAAAAGGGGGACAAGTTTTCTCAAACTAATTTAAATAAAACTGTTTGATATTGCAAAAATGTTTCAAAATAAAGCTTTAATAAAAAGGACATCTATGCGGTCTTAAAGAGAAAAACAGTGAGACGGATCCGGGGCAGAATGGAGTCATGGAATATTATGACATATTTACTACACGAAATTCTTTTGAGAGCCCAGATTAATAAAATTCAGATGGAATTCAAAATATACCATTGAGTTTCAGATGTTCTATGGTACGCCTGGCGCTGGCCTCGAAGTCTTCCTTTGTAATGATGCCGTCGTTGTTCGAATCGAAGCAATTAAATACTGTTCGTGTCTTTCGTCTCAAGTGATCAGATGCAGTAACCGGGGGGTAATCGGTCGGCATCTAGATTGTTGACAACAAAGAACATGTGCATTAATGGCCGTAAAATACACAAGAGACAAAAAGTTGTTTTTTATTCCATCTTGTTCAAAACGAGTACTGTCTTTTCATTATCGTCATAAAAATTAATTGTCTGGGTTATTTTACATCCGAGGACTCAGAAGCCGCCATTGCGTAGTTCACAAAGATTGCGGGCCCAAACGCACAGTAAACGTACAGTAATTTGCACCCCCAACCCACACCGCTAGACGTTCCGCATAAAAAAACCTTAATATTCAATAATCTTCTCTCAAATAGGCAAATGTTGGGACAACCAACCTGACTTTACAATATGGCCTAAGCGATAGCTCAGCTACAGGCTAGTTACAATACTGCGTGTACAGGGTACGTCTAGAAGTTAGGTAGATAGGATAATTGGCAAATACTTGAACATACGGGATAAAGAGATCAGATTGTTTTACCAGTGTTATATTCTGGAGATGACCCCGTTGTGAATTTTACCATCATTACTGACTACCTAATTTCTACTTACATTCTTTAAGCGGATCGGTTGGTTGGTCACTTGGCCTGTCAGTTCTCGAGCCGATTGCATACAGGGTGTACATCCTAGCACTAATCCACTCTGCGGACCTTTTTTCAATAATATCTGGTTAGATGGCGTGGTTCGTACCAATCCCCATCTTGACTGCACAATCCTCAATAATCCCCAACTATTTTGGAAAAGCTTAGACATTTTGGCAATAGTAAAACTGGATAAATAACGAATCCTTCAGCTAAACTCAACTCAATTCGAGCAAAATCTCCGCACGAATGTTAAAAGACTACAAAGAACGTCCTACCTGTATATTCACACAAATGAAGGTATTACGCCATAAAATGAACGTGACCTGACTCACAATTTCAAACTTACATTGGCTATGAAAGAGATTTTTCGTGGTCTCCAGATAGGATGATGAAATATAATTGTTCGTCAGAAAGAGACTGAATAACACCAGTGAAACACAACATTTTGGTCCACCATCTTTTCTCGCATTTTTTGTCACTGAGCGCCTCTAGATGAATGTGTTAGTTTGAATATAGAAAGGTTTATCATCGACTCTACGGTTATGAGAACAGGACATCCCCCGTCTTGGATATATACATCTTACGGTGGTGAATTTTCAGGGCTAACAAAGGGTAGCTAGGAATCGTGCTGTCTTAAGCCTCGGTCACAACCGGACGCTTGAATTTTAGGATCGTATGTCCCCTGTGAATTTACCAAATATTCAACAGATCAACCTTGAATTGAGTCAATACCGTACTTGGCATGGCGTCATGCATTTCATACTGCCCTTTCATCAAAAAAGCTATCTTCGCGATGGGATTATCATCAAAATTTTTTTCAGAAGTAACCTTTACATAATTATACATTTTGTTGTTAGTGCCCCCCCCTCCTTGGCCTTGCTTATCAAGACTGTACCTACATTCATGTCAGCCGCCTCATGTTCACTTGGTATATATATAATGGTGTTTATTTCGTAAATTTAGGCCACCCAGCCTATATTACATTACATTTGTATAATGCGGGATGTCGACGTTCTTTGTTCTTCAGTAGACCGTTGAACAATTTTTTTTTTACTTGTGGAAAGAACTCGAGTGAATAGAAATAAAAGAAGAAAAGTACAGGGGTATTGAATCCTGATCAGGATAAAGACGGTATACCACTTATTTCAACATATATGTATTGCGACAACTCTAACGTTCATGCCCCTCAGTGAAAAACATGGTACATGTAACGTGAACATGGTAACGTAAAGCATGCAGTTCAAATAGAATTAACAAAACGCATTAAAACCTACCGAATGGCTTTGTGGTCAGAGTATCGGTCACTGAAGAACATAGCAGCCCTTTATAAACGATACATTGTGTCTCCCTACTTCAGGTATTGGAATATATTTGCATATGCAACGTACCTTTCATTGCTCCACACACCAGCTGAGCTGTGTCATCCCTAGCACGCTAGATGATAACGACTACACGTATGTATATTCAATAAGAATCAGGTTCAAAAATGTGCTAGGTATATTGCCATCTTAAGTACTATAAAATTTAATTATTTTCAAACATAAGACACAATTATAATATCGCTTCCCCAACAACTTTTTTTTCTAGAATTGTGTAATAAGACAATAACAGTGTTTTATTTTTCAATATGTTCAAATGAAAAAAGTTCCTCTTGTTTTGGTGTTGGAAGTGCCTGTTAGATTATCTTGTTCTACAGTGTTTGTAATTTTTGAAACTACCTGCATAATATTGCAGAGGAGTATAGCTTAATTTTTACTTTATGTCAAGAAACCGAGTTATAGCACCTTTACAGCTTTCCGGTGTTAACATTGTTTTTCTACATATTAACACGTATGAAAACATCAAAACAATACAAAATGCTGATATTTGATCTGATTTTATTTTCGTAATTACGTACAAGAAACCAAATCAACCGTACTTATAATAAAAGAATACCTTCATATAGGAATGTATGCATAACATTTCATATTTACGTAGCCAAGTGTAAGTATTATGCAGTGGTAACGAATATCAGGCTATTATCTTGTATTTGACCTCATGTATTAAACCCCAACATACATGTATCTACACGCATTAGTTTAAAGTATTTAGTGATGGCGACTGTGTCTTCAAAAGCTCACTTTATGTACGCAAAAAATGCAAATATATATATATATATATATATATATATATATATATATATATATATATATATATATATCATGCAAACATTGGTTACGGAAGAAGCTAGTTACATTTTGACAAGGGGGCCAAAGAACATATTGTATTTATTATTTGGATCTTCCGTTAGCCAATACTCCATATACCCTTCTGCAAATTCTTCCATGGATATAAACCCAGCCTTATTGCTATCCATCACATTGAAGACTCTCTTCGAAGCATCAACTGGGGCACGTATGCTGTAGAAAAAAGCAGCATGCTCTTCCTTAGATATACGACCATCGCCATCAACATCCATGGCATTGAATTCCACGGTGATGATGCTGGGAAGTAGTTCACGTCGATAGCTAAGTTGGTTAACCATCGACAAACTTTCCTTTACGTATTCGTCCTCTATCATCTTGGCAGAAATGTCATCCCTTAAACTTTGCACATAACGTTCCCAGATGCCCAGGCGTTGCTTAAGTATGACGTCAGCTTGCTTTTCTGAAACAGTTAAAGATATATGTTAAGCTAAATTTGTGTCTAATTTTCACAAAATCGAATCGAACTTTAAGAATTACAATGTTTATACACCTCCTCATTTCTAGCCGTATTATTACAGCATTCTAATCGAGTATGTTTAACTTATGATGATGCTCATACATGAACACGCACACACACACACACGTTTGAAGACATATGTCAAGTTAAATCGATGTTTTATTTTTACAAAAAGGAATCAAAGTTTAAGAGTTTCGATGAATATACCCTTCCTCAATTCTAACAGTATTTTTTAGCATTTTAAATCGATTAAGTAAAATTAATGATGATGATAATAAGTGTATTCCATGTCATATTAGTCAATTACCATCAAGGCTTAAAAACTGGACAGTCCTGTTAGCGGTTGCCACCCAGTCTTCTCTTGTAATACAGCCGTCAGAATTTGAATCTAAGCAGTTGAAACATGTGCGCACTTTCCGTCTCCAGTGGCTGGATCCAGTGACCGGTGGGTAATCAATGGGCATCTGAAATGTTTACTAAAACCTGTAAATTGGCCTTTCGACTCCCCCCTTGGTTAGATTGGTTTAAACCTTCCAAAATAGTGTGGGATTTTGCAATAATAAAGTCAGTGGCTTGCAGGGCGATTTTTGCATTTTTTTTCACTTTTGGAATTTTGATAAATCAACTTCCATCTTGAATGCAAGAATACACACCCCTTGTGTTCTTCAGCTGTTTCCATGGTGTTAGTGTTCCAGAAAACGGAACATCGAGTTTGAATAGAATAACGTAGCTTTGGAGACTCGAGAAACATATAGCACTATGTTACATTGTATGTGTTCAGATAGTACATTCTCTATATCAACTTACTTTCTTAAAATGCTGGGGCTGGTTCGCCAGGCCACGGACAAGTTTAAAATCCGCTGCAAATCTTCTGAAGAATCCAGTATTACACCAAACTGAACTTGTGAGTCGCATGGTTATTTGGTTAAGTCTTACTTGCCCCTTAATGGGATAAATAAGACGATGAAATATTGAAAACCGTGTAAATCAGCTATTTGACTCAGTACTCGTGTTGCCTAGTAGCCTAGGAGTGACCAATTTACAATGTTTACTCCATATGGTAATTCTACTGTGACTTTTCACTGACACGGGTCAACGACCGGTCAGCTCAATATAATGGAATAAAGGTTTGGGAGGGCAGGACAAACATACAGCGAGGGGAGGCTGAAGGGGTGTTCAAAGGTAAAAGGTAAAAGTTTTTCTTTAGCCATCCTGACGAGGATCTGTAATTAGTATATGCGTTTACTTCACCACTTTAGCTTAAGCCTCTTGATATAAAGCAGAAATAAAAAAGGGGGAGAAGTTCATTAAAGATCCAGCTGAATTCTAATTTGCGTAATTTGCAAAACGCACGAGGTAACTTCTCTGCGACTCGAAAATACAGTGTAAAATATACAAAAATATCCTGTAGTAGCCAATCGAAAAATTCAAAAAATATTCATGTCCCAGTCTTACAAACCTTGACCGTTGTACAGCAAGCAGACCTCACATTAATACTGGACACATTCCGCTTTTGACATATGTACCGATTTTTTTACCCCTCTAATGTCTTCCTGCATGTCATTACTCCATTTAGTGCGTCAAAAGTGACCAAATAGTTTAACATTTGTGTGCAGCGAAGTAAATGATATTTTATCTGCTGGAGAGGACAGCGCTAGCGGACGTGGCATTGAAGGTAGGTACAAATGTATCGACACATTCAGAATACTCTGAACTTTGGCATAAAATTCAAATAAATTATTTCGTAAAATTGGGAATGTTCGCACCTCCCTTCCATTTCATCTGACTGGTGCAGTCATCTAACACGTGTCTACATATATATATATATATATATATATATATATATATATATATATATATATATATATATATATATGAATGATCTAGTGGGTGCAAGCCACACTTTATTAATTTATTCCATTTCAGAGTCAAATAAAAATGGCTACAGAAGTGACACAACCTATTGTCTCAAATAAGACCATTCGCCCATTGCAAGGGTTAGAAAACACTTTTGCTATCATGCACGAGTCAAATATCTCCACTATTGCCTTCACCTCGTGGATAGTTTCAAGGAGTTTGTTAACTGATGAAATTTGGAGAGTTTGCCTTCAACGTCTTCAGAGAAACATTGCTCATCTTCGACTGGCTTTATGTTGGCAAGATGGTAAGCGACATTTCAAGTCCATGGACGACCCCCGTTTAGATTTTGAGATCTTACATGTGGCTACAGCTGATGAATGGAAGAACGTGCACGAAAACATGATGCGCGTTACATTCGATACAACGAATGGGCCGCTTTGGAAGGTAAAAATCCTGCGCAACCCTCTCGTTTGCACAGAAGGAGATGGTTTTACTTCGTGTGACAGCGCTCTCTTCAGCTACACAATCGTATTTGGTATCCATCACTCCATCATCGATGGTATCTCTAATTTAGCCATGTTAGACAGGCTGATTGGTATCCTGAACTCAGTGATAACGGGTGGAACCTGCGATGATGGTGATGGGATAGAGGTTCGGCCAGCTTTAGAAGACCTCCTGCCTCGGGATGAGATGACAATAAGATGGTCTGACTATTGCCAAATGGCAAGAATACTGTATAAAGAATGTCTTCCAAAGGAAAGCCTGTTCATGACGTACTTCCCACAATCGTCATCACAAGGAGGCTGCACAAAGTCGCTAGCGTTGGTATTCTCAATTCTGGAAACGGAAAGAGTTATAGCGAAGTGCAAGGAGCACAAAGTCACTGTTCACGGCGCTTTTGTTGCTGCTGCATCGATAGCTATAGTGAACATCATGAGTAAAGGAGAAACACCGCGCACTGTCAACATTGGTTCAACTCATCCTGTTAACATGCGGCGTTTTCTACCACCAGAATCACGAGATATTTTTGGGCTGTTCGCATGTATAGTTGACATTAATTTGACCACCCCAGTTGCCGCCACCTACAGCTCATTTTGGAATGTTGCAAGAAAGGCCACCGAAGCTATTCATACAAAGCTTAACAATGGCGATATCATGCAAGGTTACAGAATATTCAAAGCCCAATCCTTTTTCGACCGCATCACTAAGCGCATAGTAACGAAACCTTCATGTCAGTTTGAATTTGGTTTCTCAAACATCGGCGACTGCGATAAATATTGTCCTCCGAGTGCAGAACGCGACGAGGTTGATGCCACGAGGATTGTGACGTCAGCTGCATGTCACGAGTATTCTGTTCCGTTTATGCACACACTGCACAAGTTCCGTGGCCGCTTCTGCTACAATCTTGACTACGGCACCAATAGGGTAACTGATGCTCAAGCCAGGGACTACGCTGACACAACCGTGAAGCTGGTAACGATGGCAACAGGAGAAGAGAAAGGAAATTCCCACGCCCAATGAAAATCAAGTTTGAAACTTGATTGTTTGGACTGTTGAATTAGGACCTTAACAGTGTTCACGTCATGCGGATAAAGAATTTCGGTATTTTGTTTCAAATTTGTTTCCCTTACATATAAATATGTTCTATTATTTTGGTATGCGGCAACTCTAAAACGTTTTTCTATAGTAACAGTATGTTGCCTTCTCGTGAACTCACAAACAATGAAGCAATGAACATCAATGGATTACCCACTTAGTAATCTCGCCGCCCTTACTTATGCCAAAAACATGAATGAGATAAAATTACTACCCATATATTTAACCGTCTTTAAGCAAGTACCTGTATCATTACAAATGATCTGTGGATTCTTTTCAACTATCTTTTACCGAAATGTCAGAATATCAGGCTATACGATGTAGAAACATTATAATTGGGAGGAGTATCTGAGGTAATTTTGCTGTAAAAATGTTTTTTTTTTAAATACAACAGAATCATATAGTTGTTAGTTTAAATGTGATTTTAGTGACATTTGTACTTTGATTAATACACACAAAATGTTGCAAACATTTAACTATAAGTGAGACTAAACATGGCACATGGTAAAGAGTAACAATATTTATGTATAAATCTGTGTAACATTGTTATTTACTTATCTACAGTATTTCTTTAAGTGTTGTTTCCCATCCCCATCTTGTAAATTTGAACCACTCTATATTGTGTAACATGTTATTGTATCCATATGTTTCACGAATTCTGTTTATGGTAAATATAAAATCACACAAGAAGTTATACATGTACATGCATCTCACCGCCTAGCTTGAATATTTTATTATTTACTTAACTAGTACATTTGTTCATTATATAAAGATATATATTTGTTCAATCACGAACTGACAACACAATTACCAATTAGGTAACGGTAATGCACCAGTTGCATCGTTGTTCTAATTTTATATTGTATAAGCTCGTGATCATTTATGTACCAGTACAGAAATAAATTGAATCGAATTGAAAATAAGTCTGTGATTGATAATCATGAATGGTAAATAACTTACATATAACTTACTTTAGATATAATTAAAGTTTTAGCAAAGATGGAGGGGAAAAGGACCACAAATGAGATGGATTTTTTAAAGAAAATTCATGTTCACAAGAAGGCCTAGGCTGAGAGCGAGCCGCGCAACCCTTACCGTTTTAGGATGGGGGCTTAGGTTTCCTGACTGCTCTGATAGTCCAATTATGGAGACGTCTCTCTTGGTCTGAGTATCGCAATATGTGCCAAGTGATTAGGGTATGTCTCGCGAATAACGTTAACATAGCAACTGCTTTAAGGTGATTCATCAAATTAAGCAGATGATAACAAGGTAAGCCACAAAGGCTAACAAATGTTAAAAGTAACTCTATCATTAATGGAATCTGTTATTAGGCTATATTTGGCAGACTGATTGTTATCCTTAGCTCACTCATAACGGGTATATCTTGAGAGTATGGTGAGGTGGTGTGTCTTTGGCCAGTTCTGGTACTAGTAGTTAGCCCTCTAACCACGGAATGAGGTGACATCAACATTCTAGTACTATTGGCAAATGGCAACAGCCATGAATAAGGAATATTACCAAAGGGAATAACTGAACCAAAGTATATGTTTTAATTCATCCAGTCGTATTTTTCCTCAGATATACCAACTAGCACATCTGTGGGACCAGTCTCTGGGAGACATCCCTTGCAGACTGTCACCACGTGACACGCATGACAATTAAGTCCATATAAAGAACGCCTTGTGATAATCTCGTAATGTACTAATGCTCGTTTCGAGTAAGATTAGTCAGTATTAAATTAAACTTCTTTTTATCCGAGCAATTACTAAACAGTGCACTATACATGTGTTACAATAAAAACGACAATATATGGTAACAGATTAATTGCATTTAGCGTATAGCAGATTTATGTTCATAAATCTCGGTCAATAGAATTGGTCCATTTCGTTGTCTTACATGTTCGAAAACCAAATTATGGTACAAGTGGACCCAGAAATTCATTGTACTTGCTATTGGGATCTTCACTGAACCAAAACTCCACGTGCGCTTGGGCGTACTCCTCCAATGAAATGAAGCCATCTTTGTTTTCGTCTAGAACATCAAAGACATCCTTCGAATATTCCACTGGAGCATTCAAACTGTAGAAAAAGGCGGCGAATTCCCTCTGTGATATTCGACCGTCTCCATCGATATCCATGTTGTCGAATCCCGCAAGTATAACCTGGGGATAGGTTTCCAATCTGAATTTCCTTTGGTTGAGATACGCCATGCTGTTCTCTCTGTGTTCCTCCTGTGATATCTTGGTTACTTTACCGTTTCTAACACCCTGCGCCAAACCTTTCCAGACTTCATGGCGTAATTTTATGTAAGGTTCGGCTTGCTCGTCTGAAAATATGTATGATGCGTAGATAAGATTAACGTAAGTAACGGTCAGTTATAATCACATACCAATTACTTGAACAGTATCGATTGCACATGCGTGCCCATCTCTTTATATATGTATACAGGTAATTCCCTTC